CATGCAGGGCGCACAGGAAATATAACAGGGCGCTGACAATTTAAACAGGGCGCCAATTTCAGATAACAGGGCGCGGCGCCCTGTAAAAACCCCTTGTGGAGAACCCTGATATATACTGCATAGGAAAGTGAAACAAGCGAGATACGCCCCTGGATGGATGCATAGAGGTGAACACGACTTTCTGCTTGTACATATCCATTAATATATCACTTTGGTCGTACACACAACATTTGTATTCTAGGTGAAAAATGAGTTGCGAAGCATGGGAGGGAGTGTTCTAATAGAAGGTAGGAGTGAATTGTATTATTATACTGGATATATAAAAAATGGCATTTTTTCACTATGCTTGTTAGATTTCGAACCAGAAATAGTAGACAATTATTAGTTTTTAAAAATGCAAGAATGTCGTTTTTTTTTTTTTTTTGAAGAAACACTTGTTGGTATTAAATTTGGTCATCAGAGATAAAAGAATTGTCTCCATATTATTTCAGAAGAACGAAAGTATTTAACTCATCATTTGACAGTCTTGAGATGCATTTGACTATAATGAACAAAAGCTAATCAGGTAATACTAATTGAACTTACAGCATTAACTGTTGAAAACATTGTATGTGCCCCATACTGCAAACCAGGCACAACACCTGCAGCACCAGTAGGATAATATGCCATACCCCCATAACCATAACCAGGTGGAATTGCAGGGTTGATAAATTGTTGTTGCTGCTGCTGCTGCTGCTGGTGATGACCACCTTGACCAGGCTGCTGTTGCTGCTGCTGGGGTTGTTGTTGTTGCTGCTGCTGCTGCTGCTGTGGTTGCTGTTGCTGCTGCTGTGATGAAACAGACGACACAATGGGCGAGGACGCATCGTTCCGACTAAATTTAGTTGCTTCAGTCACTGAATATTGCACATTTCCAAGAGAGGCTCCATCTCTTCCTGTCGTTAACGCTGTATTAGGCTGAAACTGTGGCATGTCATAAGCAGAAGGATAACCCTGCAATTAAAATTACACTTCTGTCAAAGAATAGTATTTCTATAAATCAAGTATTTTGTATACATAAACAACTGAGAAGCGGAAAATGCTGAGGTAATTGCATCAATGTTTTCAAATGACTTGGAAGTCACTACACTGACTTCTAACTATGATACATCAAGCTGACTGTGTCTGCATTCATTGGATATTGATATTAAATGCATTTATTGTTTCGGATCCACATCCATGACACAAAGAACAAAGATACATGAACCAATTATAACGAAACAATTATATGTTAAAATAATACATGGAACCTCTCCAAACAGGTGAATTAATGTGTACTCTATGTGGGTACAATTCATCATAAAGTGATTTCCCTTAATCTAGTATTGTATTGTACTGACAACTGAAAACTACCATTGATCCATGTCCAAAATCTGAGACTACACCAAACTATGTCTCATACATGTATACATGCTTGAGAAACTGCATTCATAAATCTGAGTAAACCTTTAATAACTGGCTGCGCCTGAACGGGGACTTAACACTTACCATAGGCATTCTCTGCAGTAGTTGTAACTCGTCATAGTTGTATGAAATTGGTTGATGCTAAAAATGGAATAAATAGTGTCTGTCAATGTATATTGTGTAGAATTTCACAGGTGAAATGCCAATAAGCATTCAATTAGCATTTTGGTGTAATGAATAATGCAGACGAAGAAGTAAAACAATTATCGCATGTGTGTCTATCTGAGAATCAGAATTCAATTTTCTAATTGTAGAGAGTGGAATACAAGAAATCAGTATAAAGTCATCAGAAAATAATTAACTCGTCTTCATATGGTATCAGAAGAACGAAAGTATTTAATTCATCATTTGACAATGGAGAGAACAGAAAAAGAAACAGTTAAACTACACATGCATGTGTGAAGGCAGGTAGATCATACTGTTAGCAATGCACATTTCAATTAAGTACTGAAGACATCATTAGAAAATTAACAATATGTATAGTATCAAAGCAGTTGACTTGCTGTTTTCAACAAGAAGTCGAGAATATCACTTTTTACCAAAAATATTCACCAAAATCAGAGAATTAAAAATATCATCACGAAATGAACAAATCTAAGAGAGGTCTGCCCAAGGTACATATACACCAAGTATCAAAGCAAAAAGAACTGTAATTTTCAAGAAGAAGTCGAAAAAAGTAAAACATTGACACTGACGACGACAACAGACAATCACTCGTGTGATAAGCTCCGCTCGACAGCCAAGCTAAAAACTGACAAAAATTGCCAATTTCCTGGTCTCATTTTATTTATTTTTTAAACCCAAACTGCTGTTTGATGGCCCAGGGCAAATTTCTGGCAGAATCCGGTAGTGCTGAAGTTATTCATACAGTTAATTTTCATTGAATGAATTTATATTCACAAAATCAGCAAACACAATTGTTAATTTTATCATGAACTGATCAGATTAGTTAAATTGCTAGAAATTATGACTGCAAAATAAAAGAAAATGTTGAACAAGCCATGCATGGCACAGTCCCTGTTAGTTATCAAATTTAAGATATGTAATTTGGTTCATAGTAGTATAGTTGGAACATAAACATGTCAGAAGTCCAGAAGGAGCTTGATTATGTTGATTTTTTAACATTAAAATGAGCGACATCTTGTATCTGATCACCAAACTAGTACTTGTCCATATTGAAAAATATTGCTCTGGAACAGCATTAATTAAAACAAAAACCAATATGAATACATGTATATATCTATAACATGATGTATAATGAATATATAAATTGTATTCATTAAAACAAAATGGCCGCCAGTCAGCCATTTTGAATCTAATGTATGTACTAAGTTTGAACAAAATCCATCCTTAAACGCCATGATCCAGTTCTGGAATGCCAGAAATGCTTGATTTTGATGACTTTTTAGCACAAAAATTGTCACCATTCGGCCATCTTAAATCAGATCATGAAACAAATTGATGTGCATATGTATAATATTATGTATGATGTATGTGTGAAGATAGATTGTGATTGGTCCAGGCATGTCTAAAATACACGGATGCAGAGGTCAAAACACAAGTCCCCGTTTTTGGACTAATTAAAAAAACAAAAAACATGCAAATTCAAGAATAAATAAGTGAAAAAAATTAGGTTTCTAGCATGGGATTTGATCTCTTGTTCTTCCACTTGCAAAAATACAATTTTTTGGAAGACCAGCTCCAGAATCTATACATGTGAACTATACCTTAGATTAACCATATATACAAGTTTGATAGCAATCAGCTAAATATTATTGCCCATAAGAATGTTTGCAATGATGTTTGCCGGAAGACAATGATGAACAACAGACATTTTGCCGACTACAGTACTATGACTCCACTTCATTACAGGCAAGCCACAAATGCACAAGAAGAAATGATTAATACTCACATATGGAAGTATTCCTGGTGTCATAATAAATTGATGTCCAGCCATTTGATTGAGTAAGGGCATACCAGGAGGTAAATTGAGAGCTGCTTTGCTACTTGTAGTTTGAGTTGTAGCCTTGCTGGATAGCGCTGTCGTTGTTGTACTTGAAAATCCTAATGCTGAAGAGACATTAACAGATGTTGCACTCTGTATATTGAGTGGGACGGTACCAGTAGTCGTCAATGAACTCACAGAATGTGGTACTGAACCCAAACCACTTGAACCAAGAGAAGACTACATTTCAAAGAAATAATACAATTAAAGTTAGAATCACTTGCTTGGTTAGTAGTAAGCATGTTTTTAAGCAGAATTTGAAAACCATTTGCATGATAGCTTTTTAGGTTATCAAGATAAATTAGTCAAGTTCATGGCTCAAATAATAATTCAGCAGACAATACAATTATCGTATTTATCCGGGTATAAGCCCAGGGTCTTGAACATGGAAAATTGCCAAAAAGAAGGGGTGGGCGTTTGCCAGGAGATCCCCGGCAAAAGAAACGAAAATTCACGAAAATTGACAACAGGCAGATCGAACTACGGCAGGGAATAGAACGGCAAATGAAAACATGCAACGGAAATAAATGAACACGATGCAACATTAGAAGTAAAACAAAAATATTGTATTGCTTATAATGTGGCAAATAAACCAGAAATAATAATCAAAGAAAGCTTAGAAAGAACTCCCATGTGCTGAGAGTATTGGAGACACATTAAATACAATTCGAAATTACTTAGCTGAAAACTAATTATGCAAATCAGAAAATTAATATGACCAGATTTGAGTGTAAAACTAATGAGGTCTGCGGAATGTAAC